GTTTTCATCTAAAATGTTCATTAGTTCAGCTCACTTCTCTGTTTGGGCACCCATAATACTTCTGTCTATGACATTCAATGCAAAGTCCTGGGCCTGGTGAGTGAGATGCTGCACAGTACAGCTTCCATCACTTTATTAAAAGTAAAGCCCCATTTTCTAAAAGTTTCTTGCAGATTTCTCCATGTCTTAGTAATACCAAACTACTTAGAGACACAGTGGGAACTCAAAAAATATATGTTGAAGGAATAATTTAATTCTTTGGAAAGTGCAAAAGAGCAAGACTGAATGGCTTGCAATGAGTCAATCTTTGTGGAGAAAGTGATCTGGAAAAGCAGGTGTCAAAGCTTGACAAATTAATAGTGTTCAGGAGTATCTGTGCTACTCTGCCTCTTTTGCTGTCCGCCTTCCCCATCTCTGGGATTAATCTGAGAATGGACTTTGATTTTTAAACAGGTTCACAGAGGTATAATTGGCATGCAATAAACTTCAAGTGTGTATTTTGATCAATTTTCACATATGTATATACCTGTGAAACTATCACTATAATGATGATAGTAAACATAACCATCACCCCTAAAAGTTTTCTTGTGCTCTTTTTATTATCCCTCTCTGCTCCTCCATTTGTCTCTAACTATCAGAAAACCACTGATCTCACTCTCACTGTATTTTCTACAATTTCATGTAAACAGAATCATACAATTGGTAATCATTTTTTGTCTATCTTCTTTCACTCATCATGATCATTTAGAGATTCATCCATGTTGTCACATGTATCAATAGTTTTCTTGTTTATGAGTACTTTTTTAAATAATAAATTTTTATATTCAATTGTGTGGATCTACCAAAATGTGTTTATACATTCACTTGTTAATGGATATTTGGGTTGTTTACAGTCTGTGATTATTATAAATAAACCACATTTGTGTACAAGTTTTTGAATGGCATATGTCTTTTCCCTCTTGGGTTAATATCTAGGAGCAAAATGGCTATATCAAATGGTAGATGCATCATTGACATTTTAAGAAACTGCCAAACTGTTTTCCAAAGTACTTGTACTGTGTATGAGAGCTCCAGTTTCCAATCCAACATTTGGTATGGTCAGTCTTTTAAATTTTAGTCATTCTAGTATGTGTGTAGTAGTATCTTGTGTTTTAAATTTGTATTTCCCTAATGGCTGATAGGGAGCTCTGGTAGCATAGTGCCTAAGGCACTTGACTGCTAACCAGAAGGCTGGCGGTTCAAACCCACCAGCCACTCCTCGGAAGGAAAGTTGGGCAATCTACTTCCGTAGTGCTACTGCCTCAGAAACCCAAGGAGGGGTCACGATGAGTTGGGTCCAACTCAATGGCAAATAACAACAACAACAATGGCTGATGATGTTGAACATGTTTTAATTTGCTTTTTTCCATTTGTGTATCTTCAGGTGAAATATCTATTCAAGTATTTTTCTCATTTATCGTGTGGGAGACCGGGTTTGATTCCAACCAATGTACCTCAAGTGCAGGTGGAGGCTGGTGTGTTGCTATGATGTGGAGTAAGTTTCAGCAGAGTTTCCTTAAAAAGGCTAGGAAGAAAGGGCTAACATTCTACTTCCAAAAATCAGCCAATGAAAGCTCTGTGTATCATATGGGTCCAATCTGCAACCAATCCTGGGATTGGTGCAGGATCAGACAATATTTGGTTCTGTCGTGCATGGGCTCACCATGAGTTAGGGGGCCAACTCAATGGTAGCTGACAACAACAACAAGGAGTCATAAGAATTTTACTTTCACTGAGGAACCCAATTGCTTGCTTCTCAACAAAACTCCAAACACCAAACTCACTGTCGTCAAGTCAATTCGACTCATAACGACCCCTCTTGGGTTTCTGAGGTGGTATCTCTACAGAAGTAGATTGCCCAATCTTCCTTCCTAGGAGTGCCTGGTGGGTTTGAACCACCAGCCTTCTGGTTAACAGTCAAATGCCTTGGGCATTATGCCACAAAAATCACATACATACACACTTCCCTCATTCCTCGTTTTGTTTGAAAGATGTTCAAGAAAAATTTAGGGACTTGACTTTAATAACAACACAAAATGTTCTAGTCCAGGAATCTTCAATTTTTTTCTTTTTAAACTCTTTCTCTCTCTCTCTCTCTCTCTCTCTCTCTCTCTCTTTCTCTCTTGCATTTTTTTATTGGTTATATCAAATCCTATAGAACAAAGTAGGAGCTCTGGTAGCATAGTGCCTAAGG